TGAGCTCTGAGCAACAGCGGTTCGAGTCCAGCCCGAGCTGAGCAGCCACTGAGCTGCCAACAGGTAGCAGGATGGCTCAGCTAAAAAAAAAAAAAGATGAAATGCTGCCATTTTCAACAGCACGGGTGGACCCTGAGAGCATCGTGCTAAGCGAAAGAAGTCAGATGGAAAAGGACAAAAACCATATGATTTCACTCATATGTGGGATATAAAACAGAAAACAACAAACAAACACATAAAACAAACTCTTAGACACAGACAACAGCAGGGAGGTCACCGGGGGGAAGGGGGTGGGGGTTGGGGGAGTAGGGTCACATATGTGATGACAGAAGGAGCCCAGACCACAGGTGGTGAGCACACAAGGCAACATACAGATGAGGTGCTATAGAACTGTACCCCTGAAGCGTGTACAACATTAGTAACCAGCATCACCCCAATACATTAAAAGCAAACATTTCACAAAACAGAGCTCACCCAACCAGGATCGCAGCACCGATACATCTTCTGTTCTACCTTCTTCAGTGCCAGTCACAGCCCACAGCGTGGGTCTCAGCCTCCAATGAGGTGGGAGTCAGGCCCTGAGAGACACTCCGAGTTCCTCTGCACTGCTGCCCACATTCATGAGGAGGGTCCCCCTTTCCAGACCATCGCCCCCTCAGTGCTCCTCCATTACGACGCTCCTCTGAGGTTCTAAGCACCCATCACAGCCCTGGCCCGGCTCTGAGACCCCCCATCACAGCCCTGACCCCGCTCTGAGACCCCCCATCACAGCCCTGACCCCGCTCTGAGACCCCCCATCACAGCCCTGGCCCTGCTCTGAGAACCCCTCATCACAGCCCTGGCCCCGCTCTGAGACCCCCCATCACAGCCCTGACCCCGCTCTGAGACCCCCCATCACAGCCCTGACCCCGCTCTGAGACCCCCCATCACAGCCCTGGCCCCGCTCTGAGACCCCCCATCACAGCCCTGGCCCCGCTCTGAGACCTGAAGCCCTGAGGTTGGTACTAACCTGCAGATAACCTTGGTTTCCCAGGCGGAACCAGCTCCCACCCTCCCCTCAGGCTGTGACAATGCTCCTCCTTAAAGAGGGCAGGTGGTGGGCGGGCTGACGACAGCAGAGTGGGGGTGACGGACTCCCCCTCTTCCTCCCCAGCCCAGGGCTGCCAGGGGGAATTTCCGGGAAGGGAAGTGGGTGCTGAGCCACTTGTCTTGACACTTCCAGAGAACCAGCACGCTGGCCATGAATGACAGAGCACTTGTTCTGCAACAACCTAGTGAGCGAGCTGCGTAGGGTGGAGCCGCCTCCCCCAGCCCTGTCCAGCCTGCATCTCTGGAAGCGCCGGCCTTTCCCCGCTGGGCCCCGGTGGCTGTGGTCACCTGGCCGCACGCCCAGCACCTTAACAGGAAGCCCTATTGCTCACTGCACTGTGTGCCCTGACACGCAGCCACGCTGACGGGTGACCACCGACACACGTGGATGCGCACTCTTGGCCAGTCTCCAGCAGTGAAGTGGACTCCAGACGGGGCCACTTCTGCCCGCTCCAGCCGCCCGCTCTTCCTCCGCTCCAGCAGCTGTCCTCCTGCAGCCCACCTTCTCAGAAGCCTTCTTTCCAGACCACCCGTCCTCCAGTCTAGAGCGCTCCCCACGTCCCCCGGCTTCCATGAGCATCCTCCTTGTCAGACCTGTGCACCCTGAGCCCAGGGTGGGAGCACCTGCTCACCAGGTCTACTGCAGCCCTTCCTGCAGACCCCGCTCAGCCCATGTACCCCAAGAGCTGGACTTCGTCTTCTCAGCTCGCCCCCAGGCCCCCAGCATCTCTCTCTGCACAGACTGCAAGGGGCTGGGGAGCTCTCCGACCCCCCCCCCTGCCCGCTTACAGAAGGGGGACTGAGGCCCAGAGAAAGGGAGTGGCTGGCCCTGGGACCGGGGCTCCTGCCACACGCCCCTGAGGAGGGAGCTGGTCTCCCCAGGTTGCCCGGGTGCCTCCCCGCAGACCCAGCCTGACTTCCTCCGCACCTGTGTCCAGGGCCCTCTCCACCAGGGTTTCTTCATGCAGTTTCTCATGAATTAGAAGAGCTCCTCTGTGTACACTTGACCCTGAACAACTCAGGTATTAGGGGTCAGTCGAAAACCTACATATGACTTTGACTCCCCCCAGATTTAACTACTGACAGGCTACTGCTGACCAGGAGCCCTACTGATAATATAGACAGTCGATTAACACACACTGTGTATGTGACATGTGTTATATGCTGCTGGTTGCAATAAAGTCAGCTAGAGAAAAGGAAATGTTACAAAGAAAGTCATAAGGCGAGAAAATACATTTACTGTATTTATTGAAAAAAAAATCTGCTTGTAAGTGGACCTGCGCAATTCAACTTGTGGTGTTCAAAGGTCAACTATATTTAGTTCTTCCTTGTGGCTGGAACCTCACCTGCTCAGGTCGTGTGTCACCCCCTGCACAGAGTAAGGCTTCAATAAAGCGTGTTAGGCGGCGGCCCTGACTGCGGGAAGAACCCGGCCCGCCCGTGGCAGTGCCCACTGAGGACTCCTGGCTCACAGCAGGGGCTCCTGAAACATTGGTGACTGCAGGCTCAGCAGTGTCTGCCCGGGGTGGGGTATGTGCCCCCTGAGCCCTTCCCTCTACTGACGGCGCTGCTGCCGCCCTCCCAGTGGAGGGTGGGGGCTGCCCCAGGCACGGCCGGGTGCTTTCCTCCTGGCCCACTGGGTCCCGGGATCTGAGGGGCCTGGCCACGCCGGGCAGGCTTCAGGGTCCAGACCTGGCCCATTCCCTCACTGCTGGGCAGCCTCATAACCATAGCGGTGACCCCCTGCTTTGGAGGCCTGGCTAGGGGCCAGCCTCGCCGCCAGCACCCGCCATGGTGCCCCTGCGCACTCCATGTTGACGGCCTCCGTCCCGTGTGGCCACCCCTTGCTGTGGTCCCAGCACCCATTCCTGCTTCGCACCTGCTGAGCCTGGAGAAGTCCATGTGCCAGGCCTGTGTGGGGCCAGGTGCAGGGCTGAAGGGGTGCCCTCCAGCCCCTCTCTCCGAAACGCTGGGGTTGGAGTGCAAAGGGCTGCCAGGCCCTCGATCTAGAAGAACCCTCAGGGAAGAGTCCAGGAGAGGCTGAGGCCAACCCAGGACACCCTGCAGGCTCCTGGGGCTCCCAGCCCCCTGCCCTGCAGCTGCCACCCCGCCGCGGGGCTCCGTCCTGCCTATCCCCTACACAACGGTCGTATGTGGCCTCTGAGACTCATGGTACTCACTCATTCATTCAT